TCACAGCTGTTCAGAACCCTGCAACAGCCACTTTTCTCAGCAGTGTGAGAGGGAGGGGCAGCAGGCAGGGAGTCTGCTTAAGGCTCCCCGCTGCATTTGCGGGCTGGATCTAGCAGCTTTGCAGGCCAGATCTGGCCCACGGAGGGAATTTTTACTCAGGCCTGTAGTAGACACGCATTTCTAGATACCTTTTTTTCAATGTCTAGTTTTCACTGCTCTTAATCACTTAATACCAATCTGCTAGATGTTTTAACTACAATAGTTGCAATGCTTAACTATTTTTAACTCATTTCAAGTGGAAACCAGAAAGAAAAGATTTAGAGGTAAGGACATTCAGAGGTAATCCTTGAGACAGATGTTACAGTCAAGACTAGGCTCTCCATCTGGAATTAGTGTTCCTCCACTATTTGTTGAGGTCCAAGATGGCTGATACGCCCATGCTGGTATCCTCTTCCAAAAATATGGAGGATAGATTAAGAGCCTTTCTATTGCTCCTCTGTCCAGGATGTTAATTTATCACCGATTAGATGAAAAAGGGGTGGGTGAAGCCCCCAGGGAGAGTAGCCACAACTCACTACAGGTCTCACCCACCTGTCTGTGGTTAGTAGAGACCATTCTCCTGAGAAATGGGAAAATCTCCCTCCTAGGTTCAGAGCACAGCAAAGGCATGGTTAATGAGCCTTGAGAGGCAATGCTTCCACCTAGGGTTTTTGCAGTTTCATGGTTTCCCTGACAGTTTTGAGAGGCAGATAGATGCAAGGAATATTTCTACATGTTAATAGACTTCTTGTTATCTCTCAACAGACTGTATGGGGAGGGACTGTTTTGATTTGGAAGTGCTGTCTGCCACAACCTAATCCAATTTTTCTCCAGACAGAAGTCAACCTGTTATTTGTGTAAGCACAGAATGTGTGTGGAATAGACAGCTATAGTCCTGGAGCAATTAGATGCGACGCCACAAAGTCTGTAACTGGGGGTGTTTTCTTTAGGGCAAGTCTATAGTATCTGGGGAGATCAATTGAAGTTACATAACTTAAGGTATGTGAATAAGGTAGCTGAAGTTGATGTACCACAATGTCTCCACTGTGGTATGTGGACGGGTGGTGGTCTCTTGTCGATCGACGCTCCTTCCACTTGTTGAGAGGGCATACTGGAGATGATGCTGAGAGTGATCACCAGTCTTATTGCCTCTATAACTAGACTCTATAAACATACCATTGTATTGATCACTGCCTGTCAATCTGGCCCGTAGTGTAGCCCTACGCTTTTCATAAACTTTATAGTCATCCTGACTGGGTCTTGTGGAGCATATAGTGGCCAAGGATGCTTCAAAGTTCTTTTGATGGTGGTTTTCACCTTTTTGTATAATTGGGAGAGAAATCTTCACCCAGGATTACCATTCTTTTCCTAGAGATGCCACTGTGGCACCATCCTTTGGTATTTCTGTAATGGTGATTTTGGGTACTTGCAACTGTTATCTAAGTGCACACCTGCTCATGCGCTAAAGCTTGTCAGGTATTGCCCATCCTTCCCTGTTCACATTTTCAAAAGAAGGGAGCTGTGGGATTGCTATCTGAAGTGATGGTTTGCAAGGTAGGTATTTGCCCTTAGACTAGTCCTCATGTGCTAGCTCTGATTGATCTAAAGATAGCAATGCAACCTTTCTGAATGTGATCTCAAATTTATTGAAGGCTTAAAAACCTTAGACACATGTTTTCCATGCCTTGCTGTAGAGCCTGAATGTAAGAAGTCTCTTTCCTCAGCAGAAGATAATACTTAGATTTCTTTTACTTTTTTTCTTACCCTCTGTAATGTTTTGGTTTTTTACCAGGCTGTGGCTGGGACGGATTGGACCCCCCCTCCCCCGGAAATATCTTCCCCTCCACCTGGGGTTGAGGGTCTCATTGCTAGTGTCCTTACTTTGTGTGGGAATGAGAGTTATGTAGGAATCCTGATGTTTTTTCTAGGGAGATAAGGGCAAAAAAATCTGGTGCCCACTGTTTTGTTTTGTCTTAATTCTGACCAGGCTCTAGCCCTAGGACTCAACACCTGAGCTAGCATGCTGCCACATCATCTTTGGATTTGTCCTCTAATAACCTGTTTCCAGGATGGGATTTTCTGCACTGGGAATCATGGCTCTCCAGACAAGCATATCAGGCCCCTCAGCCCAGTCTTGACTCTGAGCCCCATATCCTGTCAGAGATTAGACAGAGCATTAATTTGCTCTCTCAAGATCCTGTAAATGCTGCCTCACATATGTCACACTGCTTAGACTTAGCCAGTGTTTATGGGAGAGAACTGCCATGCTGGATCTAGGTGACTGACATCATCATAATGCTCTTTACTGATCCAGGGGAGCGGAATAAGGAAGAGTAAAAGTTGCTCACTTCTAGCCAAAAAACCTGTTGAAAACAAGACTAAGAAAGATATGATTGGAAGTAAAGTGAACTGCTGCTATGGTAATGAACATTTGATAGCACGTTACAGTAGGAGATGTAATCAGAGGGGCTGTGTTACAGAAATGAACTGCTCTAGGAAATTGCAGACAGAAGGGGACTAAGCCCATATAACTCAGAACTATAGAAGACACTGAGCTGCAGAAATATCAAGCTAACCACTTCAGAAATTTATACCAAAACTTCATAGGTAATTTAAAAAAAATCATACTACCTGAGTTGGCACTGAAAAGTTTTACATCCATAAAAAGTGCATATGGTTACTGCTATTTACCTAGTCTAGCTGATTTGGGGGTTTTGTTTATTAAGTTCAGTTTAAAAAGTCAGCTGAAATAGTCTATATCGGTGTTTTCTGAGCACAAAAAAATCTGAACTTTGAGAGAAAACTCCAAAGACTTTTATCATCAAGTAACACTGTCTTCGTTGCATTCTTACTGATATATAAAGGGCTTAATGTTTATTCAACAAATTTTGTTATTCTATGAAAATCACTTCTATACTTAGTTTAAATAAAAATTAGAATATGGTTAAAAACTCAAACTGCAAGAATACCAAGTTTGCTTTACTCTACTTTTCCCCATGTAAACATGTTATCATAGAGCTGAATTACATGATTTCATTCTATTCTTTAGTTACAATATGAAATTTCCTCCACCTTGCAGCATTTATTCAGACTTTTATATTTACACCAATATGTTTGCTGAAATATATCACTGTACCTTTGAGAGAATACAATAACTAATGTATAAGACTCTGTGGTAGGTACTGAATAATTTTGTCTTGAAGCCAAAGCACATCCAACTACAGGTACTAATCAGTGGTCAAAGCAATTCTAAAGCTAAAGGCTGCAAGTTTAGGTGGTCTATAAAAACTGTAACAGGACATTTTTACTATTACTTCTATGGCTTATACTTAATCTGTTGTGTAACTGTGGCTGACTGTTCTAATATAAATGACTAATGGTCTCTGATATGCAGAGTAGCAATTATATAAAAAACTGGGGTAGCACTGTTTGGTGTTTAAAAATAATGTAACCCTACAGACTGTCAATGTATAAACACAAAAGAGAAAGTGAAGATGTGACAGACAACAACCTTCATTTTAGTATTTCCTAACGTGTGCCCGATAGCGTAATCATAACTTTCTATCAATAATTTAAGGATCCTGTTCACAGAATTTCCTCATTTAATAAGAGATGAAAGAAAATTAATGGCAGGGTAGACGCATCACTTTTGTCAGGACTTGGAGGTCTGCAAACTAGCAGTAATTTGGTAATAGCATGCATACATTCCATAATTTAGAGCACTGGGGCTAGGTATAACCAAAATGCCACATCTTAGTTACCTTGTGAAGTCTGAAGGAAGATCCACTCTATTATGTACCTTAGCCGCTATCATGTCACATCAGAATGGTCTCCATCCTGCATACCTCATCAAGTATGGAACCCCAATCCTAACCCATTTAGACTCAACTACTACTTGAAAATTTTACAAGATTAATGGGAAGATAAGAAACTTCCCAATAGGGAGAAAAATCAGCCAAAAGCTCATCCTGCTTCCAGCTGAAATGTGAGGAGACGCTCTATCAAGAAATTCAGAATATGCTGACAGAAGTAAAAAACAAGAAAAAAAACCCTTTAGAAACAGTAATACCTTGTATAGTGTGGAAATATCGCTTTTAGACATTCAATGATACTGTCCAGGACTTTTGAAAGTGCCTTCTTGTTTGGAACTTTAGCAGCTTCCAAACGCGTAGCTGATGCTGGATCATCTAGCTGACTTTGGTTTGGCTGGATGTTCTGAGCAGTACTTCCAGAAATCCCTGATGACTGGGTTACTGGGACTTTATCAAAGTATGATGCTCCTGAAGTTTTACAGGGTAGGTTCACTGATCCATTCTTTGCAGAACAAGGATTAGAACTTTTATCTGCTCTTTTCTTTCCAGTTTGCTCATTAAATGTAGAATGAATTGGACTTAGATCTTTTGTGCTTGAAAATGCAGGAAGCAAATTGGGACATACGAGTGCAGATGAATACATTACGATGGCTGGATCATTAATAGGAGGGTTGCCTTGCATTACCTACCAAAAAAAAAAAGTTCCCAGAAAAAGACCAGGAGTAATTAAAATATTAATCAAGTACTATTTTCAAACATGTTAAGGCCAAAGTTACTTCATGGACTGTGCTTTACTTAAGTTGAGTAGTTAAGAGGAAAATGCATAATAAAAGAGAGCACTTTATTCTTACCTTTTTGTAGCACATATGCAAAACTCATATCCTTTGAGATAACTGGAACAAGATTTGCTCCAAAACTAATTAAAATATAACGTGCACAAGTTTTTTGAACTTCAAATTCCATAAGAATGTGAAGATGGTGTGAGGTTGGTTGTAAAAATAGCTTTATAGTCTGAAGAGATTGCCATATCTAACACTTGCTAGGTCCTATCTCCTCTTAGTGGGCAGTAAAAGTGGACTAAGCAGATGGCTGCTATCCCACCTTTTCTGCCCCATATGAGGACGCACAGACATGTTTATTAAGAAAAAGCATAGAGCACAAGCATAAGTTCTTCTTTGAGATGTTGCCACTGAAAGTAAGTGGTTTCATTTGCTATTTATGAAACAAAAAACAAAGTAGAGTAACTAGAAGTTTTTGAGATACTTACTGAGATGCTAGGAGGAGACTGAAGATCAGCAACTTGCACTTCAGAGATATCATTTAGTTGTGTACCATTTTTCACTAAGTGAATTCTCTCTTCATACTGAGACTATAGAAAAAGACACAGAAAACCAAAAATCAGCCTTTAAATTATTCCATTTACACCAATGTATCAATTAACATTAAAGTATCAATTAACATTAAAATATTTGAAAGACTAAAGACATAATACATAGAAATAAGACTATATAAAAGTTCGAATTTGTTTTTGCTATGTTAATGTACAGATTAAAAATATGACCACAAAAAGATACTTTCATAAATTGTACAGATTTAGAATTACTGAGACTATTTTTCTCCAGCTGTGTACCTCTAACAGTTATTGAGTTTCCTAAGATTTTTTTTCTTTTTAAAATGGCCTTATTTCTCTTTTATATCCTACCACAAATTCAATAGGAGATACAAGATATGTGGACTTGCTAAGCTAAAGTAAAAAGGTAATCACATATTTGGCCTGTAGATTAAAGATTCTAGTTAGCAAGGATGCCAGCATAGGCCCACATGTAGCATATTTGACTTAAGTGGGGCTTCATTTGAAAGAATTCCAGCCCACACGTAGCTCTGCTGATTCCAGTACAGTGCTATCCAGACACAGGTGTGTATACTTCATCAGGGCTCTTACAAGATATTAATTTAAGTAAATACATCAAGAGCAACTATGAGATCTGCATTTAAAATGATAAATCCAAATCCTTACAATTGTTAAATTATTGTCAAACTAACAGTTTGCACTCCTTTAAAACAAAAATATAAATATTGTTTTGTTTAACCCATTAGGAACATCACAATTATATATTTTGTAAGAAGAAATAATTAAGCAGGAATCTTACAGTAAAGGAAATATGTTGGTAAAGAGACTTACCTCTATTTTTTCCTTTTCTTTCTTGATATTTGAAATAAATGTTTCCCAAGAATCAATCTGTGACTTCAACTGAGGTAACACTGAAGTGGGAGCACTGAAATATTTCAAACTTTCAGTTAAAATAATGTTATATCTTGCATTTGTAAGTGATTTTCCAAAAGAGAAAACTTCTACCCCAAAGTGTAATGCACTCCTTCCTCATCTAGGTAAATCATAACTGAAGCTGATAATCAAAGGGTATGTCTACACTACCACCCTAGTTCGAACTAGGGGGGTAATGTAGGCAACCGGAATTGCAAATGAAGCCCGGGATTTGAATTTCCCGGGCTTCATTTGCATATAGCCGGGCACCGCCATTTTTAAATGTCCGCTAGTGCGGACTCCGTGCCCCGCGGCTACACGCGGCATGGACTAGGGAGTTCGGATTAGGAATGAGGAGTAATGGTAGTTCAGAATAGGAAGCCTAATCCGAACTGCCTAGTCCGTGCCGCATGTAGCCGCAGGGCACAAAGTCCACACTAGCGGACATTTTAAAATGGCGGCACCCGGCAATATGCAAATGAAGCCCGGGAAATTCGAACTAGGGTGGTAGTATAGACATACCCAAACAGACTTCTACCAAATTAGCGTATCAGTGTCTCTTCACTAATTTAACTCTTAGAAACTGACCACCTTTGGAAAGTAAAAAAGTAAGCAACAGAGTACCACAAAGACCTATGTCAGATGCTCTGCAGGGAGGATCTCTCTCTCTCTTTCTCTCTCTCCCCCCTTCTAGTCCTTCTTCACTTCCTCATACTATCAGGCAGGAAAATATGGACAGTTCTCAGCTGCATGAACCATCATGGCTAAACCAAAAAAGGGAGAGAGCCAGCAAGTCTTTCACTGTGAATTTTTCCACATATGGGACTCACAGGGATTGAATGTTAACAACTAAGAGAAGGTTGACTACTTAAATACCCACCCAGGGAGTGAGGAAACAGACTGACAGAACCAGACAAGTACCCAGAAGTCAACTACTTCAATACAGGCCCAACAAGGAAAATAATAAAACATCACTGGTTACCTACAGTCCCCAGCTTATGCTCCTCCAAAGAATCATTGACAATCTACAACCTATCCTGAAAAACTATCCCTCATTTTCATAAGCCTTGGGAGACAGGCCAACTCTCACCTCTAGATAACCCCTCAACCTGAAGCAAATTATTTCCAGCAGCCACACTTCACACCTCAGATACATTCACCCAGGAACCTACCCCTGCAACAAATCGTGTTGCCAACTGTGTCCACATATCTATACAAGCATCATCATCACAGGACCTAACCTCTTGAGCCACAATATTGGGGCTCATACAACTGCACAGCCCAATTAGAGAGACTGCAGAACTGGAATTTATCTACAAGTTTGACACACTTACCCAGGGCTTGAATAAAGACAAACTGATTGGAGCATTGTATAGCCAATTTTCCATGCCTTTAACATCAGCATTTTCCCATCAAAAGCTACCCATGGAACACATCCAGCCTACTTAATTATCCTCATTAACACGGTTCCTACAATTGACAAGTACCACACATCGTAGTTTCTGTTACTGCCTCTCCATCTGATGAAGTGGGTTTTACCAACAAAAGCTTGAAGATCCTATATATTTTTGTTAGTCTTGCAGAAGCCATAGGACTACTAGTTGTTTTTAAAGTTACAGACTAACACAGCTTCCCTCTGAGACTTTTTAACCAAGAGAAGATTCTTTATAACTGATGTAATTCAAAAAGTTAATAAATGCCACTATGCTTTCCTAAACTTTTAGAACTTAATTTTTCAGTCCTATAAAATCTTGTAGAAAGCATCAAAAACACATTCTTTAGACAAAGCTTTAATATGGTGTTAGTACATTTTTAAAGGTGTATTTAGCTATCTAGAAAACACCTATGATGGTACTTATTTGAAGTCAGAAATACATCTGGGAACATGAATGTCTGATCTCCAGTGGAAATGTACAGTTTCATTAAACAAATAAAAAGTCTAAATTAGGGAGAGGAAATAAAACAATCACAAAAAAGAAAACAGGAGGGTAAAAAGATCACATAAAATTAATGAATTTTCACATATGTAAACTGAATCTAGATTAAAATGCCATTCAAGATAAAATAGTGACATTGTGTAACAATTACAAATAGAAATATAACAGTTTAAAACAGAGAAACAAATTCTAATGACTTACTAAAGGGCATACCTGCTCATTAACTTTAGGACTTTAAGATTTGTTTCTGCATTTGCAGCTATGCTGCATAACTTGCATAATTCAGTGTTCTTCCGATTTTCAAGTACTGACACCTAAAATTAAATTAACTGACTTATAAGACATGCAGCACAAGGATTTGCATAAGTACAAGCAGTAAAACTAATTACTAATCTAAATTCAGTCTGTGATTTTGTAATGCAATGAAATACATTTCTATTCAGAAAAGGCCTAGCTCTAGAGCAGGGCTACTCAACTTTGGAAGTCCTTGGGGCCACAGTGATACTCACCGCACATGCTGAGGGCTGCAGCTTAAGTGTGGTTGCATATACATGCAAATATATGCAAATAGCTGCTTTCAGACGGAGGGGCATGAAGACAAAGTTTAAGGCAAGACTACACAACACACAGGCACCATTTAAGTCAGTTCTGCTGATATTAATAAAATGCAATAGTTATCAAATTTCCACCCATATGTCAGCACTTTTAATGAGTAATGACAGTCCAGGAATTTAAATAATAAAACGTATATCAACAGAAAACCATTATTATAGATTACTTTTTTGTTTTCGCTCCCACCTGCAGACCACAAACAAACAAGCCGCAGGCTGCATGTGGCCCGTGGGCCGTGCGTTGAGTAGCCCTACTCTAGAGCGTCCCTGTAGTGATATTTTCCCAGCTGTGTTAAAATGCAACAGCATAAATGTGTGAAGAAGCTTACTGGCTCTCAGGTGGCTGTAAACAACCTACTGAGCATTAAAACTTCCATCAATAGTGAAACTTTCCATCCCCATCCTTTGAAAACAGATAACCTTGATATTGTGCATTATATTTATGATTAAAAAGATATTTCATCTATTTAAAGACAGGTACACTGACTTCTAGCTCAACAAGGATCATCTTTTTTAAAATATGATTTGCAAACATAACAATCCAAAACTTCTTTAAAGGAAAAGATCCAATCTTTTTTTATTCAAGAAATTTTAGTTAAAAGCATTCTGAATATAGCAAAATATAGAGAAAATCACCTAAAAACTATTATGGGCACTCATATTATTTATAAGATGCCAGCCTTCAAAGGGATCTGCACTCTAATTCTATTAGAAATAGATGTGCCAATATTCCAACTCAAAATCAGTACTTTTTAAAATAATAATAATAATAATAATAATTTGTGAAAAATTCCCACTAAAGGAAACTACGTCCATGTCTAGTGAATAAGACATTATTTAATTATATTTATGCTTTACTAGTAGACAATTTTTTAATGTATTATATACATATATTACATAGGTTCAAACATCCAACTAGTTCTAAAAATATATACACAAAACAAATACAATAGAACCTTGCTAATTTGCAGTGTCTCAGAGATCCAGCGTGAATTAGTAATGAAGTGAACAAAAATATCTAGAACAATTAATCACAAAACATAATTTGCTTATTTGGCAAGTAGTGTTAATCAGTGGTTTTTTTGTGACCGTACTGCCTGGTATGCAGTACTGGCACCTCCAGTCAGAGCTCAACAACTTTTCCCCTGCAGCACCAATTTTTTTTTTTACAATATTAAATGTTTCGTAGGTGATTTTGTAATAATAATCTTATCATTAAGATTGAATCTCACCAGATCTCTTTACTAAATCTGTCCTGGTAAGTGGGCAGATGAAGCTTTCTGTTGGGATTAGTGAAGTGCAAAGGAACAAGGCTCTACTGTGGCATGCTTTACCTCTGCAGCAACAGCTCTTTTAATACACTCCTGGCAATTATCTTTGCTCTTTTTTATTAGCTCTTCCAGCTGAACTTTTTCATTGGCAAATCTATTACTATAAAGTAAAATAAAATAAAATACAATGAAGATGTCAAAAAGAATTCTAGGATGCCATCTATATTTGAATTATACTCCAAACTATACAGACTTTTTTTTCTTCTAGAAAAACATGCATCACTGATTAGTCTATATATAATGTAGATAACGTAGAAAATTGTAAATATCCACTTAAAAAGTTGTATCATTTAACCAGTTAATTGTAATAGTTTAACCAGCACACCATGTGGCTGGGGTGCTGCCAGCCCTCCGAGGGTAGGGAGGCTGTTCAAGCCAGCTGGGGTCCCTCCTCACCAAGGGTAGGGAATTGCTCCAGCCAGCCTGAGTCCCACTCCACCACAGGAGGGAGGGCTGCTATGGCTGGTCAGGTTCCCACTGCGCCATGGGCAGTAGACTGCTCTGGTCAGCCAGGGTCAAGTTGCGGCATGCTGTGGGCAGGGAACTGCTCCCCCAGCCCAGCCCTCCAGTTAACCAGTTACTGGGTAAGCATACAGTAAGATTAATGCAGGGGCTCTAGGGAGCCAAATATGTCTCTTCTGGAACTCCAGCTCAGGCCCTTCCAGCAGGGAGCCAGCGCTGGAGCTGCAGCCTTATGGGTCCAGCAAGACTCAAACACCTGCGTAGCTTCTTGCAGGGAGGGGAGGGGGAGAAAGCTAATTTGTTCCCTCAGGACACACTCCTTGAAAACCTTACCTGCCAACCCTTCCCAGAGCCTTTTAAGGAATGGGAGTGCAAAAACAAGTGCCCCCCAACCACCTCATGCCCAGACCCCACCCCCCTGACACACTCCTTGCCCCCAGGCCAAAATCCCTCCTGCCCCCAAAGCCATACACCTCCTACCCCCAGTCCTTTGGTCAATATCCCCTCTGCCCTCAGGACATGATCCCCTCCGCCCCAAGCCCCCTAATCAAAATATCCCCCGCCGAACATCCCCCCCAGCTCACTGACCAGACACCAGTGGAGTGAGGTGTTTCAGTTGGGGTCACCATCAGCGAGGGTGGGCTTTTTTTTTTTTTTTAAGGTTTCTTTTTTTTTTTTGCGTCTCACTTGTGTGGTCCCCAACTGATTTTTCTGTGAATCAGTGGCCCCCACCTCAAAAAAAGCTTTCCCACCCCTGCCATAAAGACAAGGTTGAAATCTTTTGCGTTAGACATAATATTTTACTTTATTTAAAAATGAAGCCTGGCCAACAAGCCCCCAGTTTAGGCCCAGCCCCCATATGGCTGCAGCCTCATAACATTCCTGTACTCCCCACCACACACTCCAATCCTGAGCCTATTATACACCTGAACTAGGGTTGCCAGGTATCCAGTATCCTACCGGACAGTCCAGTATTTGAGTTCTCTGCCTGGTATTAAAGAAAAAAAAAATCTGACAACAACAGACACGTGCAGTGTTTGGTATTCTCTGATTTTTCCAGCTGAGCACTGGACAGAAGCCTGACATGGTTGCGGCCCCGCCGC